TACCCTGAGGTTTACCCTCAAGGTTAAGGTTTATCCTTAGGGTTCGTTGATGAATACGGCCACTGAATCGTTGCAACGATGTATAACTTATGTTAGCCATAACAGGCCTTTTTGAGTTAGTACAGGAAATCCGCTCAATTGCAAATTGGATACTTTTCCTTTTTCTTGCATTAGTGGTTGGTATCCTGCGTTCATTGCAAGCTTCTTGTTTCTCCAACAGAAATGAAATCACATATAAAGCACAGGAAATATCTGATAAAATCTTCTCCTTCATTGATTGTGTGTTTCCATTTCTGATGGATTAACAAAAAGTTCGGTACTTTTCGACTTCTTTCAATTGTATGCTATATAGTTGCGAGCACGACATCTTGAGTCTATGTTAAATAGGAAGATCAAAAAGAGGTTTCTTAAAACTTTATCGTGTCACATACAGTTTGCGTGTAATGAAGCTCATTTCATTGAAGGTCAAAGATGACCCGAGGACCAGAAAACATCAACAACTTTGTCTTCAAATCGTATACTAAGTAAAAAAAGTGCTCACAGCTTCATCTGACTGACTTATGATTACGTTCTATGTACAAATAATCCAAAAAATTATTACCATATCATATTAATAGACTAATGAACCAGCAATGTAAAGGTTCTGGATTTACGTCCGCGTGGGATCGCCGTCGGTTTCCCGCTATTTGCAGATTCAAGAATTGAGCTAACGATTCTTTATATATTGAATTTCGAAATGGTGGTCATCTAGGTGTTTATAATTCAGGTATTTGTTAGTGATTCTGCGAAAAATTGCACAAGGTATTTCTCCACACATAATGGATGCTCAAAATTGACGAAGAAAGCACGCTGATGACCCCAATACAAATTGTAAATTGGAGCAAATCGTTTAGCTTTGAGCACGTCGGACATCATACTTGCAAAATACTCAAGCCTTTCCTGTGGGCCAGGAGCATGAATCTGAATTGGCAACTACTAACGCGGACTCGTAAAATTTGAGATGTTACCTCCACATTCATCTGACATATCGTTATACCATTCTCTTGCAGTACATTATCCACGGCCACCATAGGTAAAAGATCAAATTCTGGACCTTCGTTGTCCATGATCAAGTGGTCAATAACGGTGCGATTAACCATATCTTGCAGGAATGTTAGCAGATCTATACTCACAGCGTCCACTTCTCGGTAGGAACCTGAATTTGCTCCTATAATTTTCTCTTATTAAAAAATCCCTTATTAGGTATCTTGACTATATCAGTCATGTGTCTTTTTTCACTGATATAACTTACATCCAGAAGAAAAACATGGAGGATACCGGAAAGGGATGAATTTGCATATCACTATATCTCTCTTTTGGCCTCTATTCGGCTATTTTTTCTTTGGTCGAGGTCTGACCAATTTTGGTGCCAA